CCCCCCCCCAACACCCCTCTACCTTGTCAATTAGCCCATTGTTAATAATTTTTTTTAAAAAAATGCACCCAACTGCACTCACGCACGTCTCACAGTAGCAGACTGATGCCGCCGACGTGATGAGTTCTGGTGGTGTATCAGGCGAAGGCTTTTGACGTATTGAGCACGATTCAAAAGACAACAGCACCTTCTGTTACGAGTCTAGTAACCACGGAGCTTATTTTGAAAGAGAACCGTATGGTCCTAAGGACATTAAAGGTTAAATCTATGATAACCAGTTTTTTTATTTTATATCATTGAGGAAATTGGCTAACTCCGATATTGTAGCCTAAATATGTTTGACGATTAGGGGCTTTATGCCGAGTGTAACCCGCTTAGCGATATGACACAACAAAAATATCCAACGGATCAAATTTAACTGCGCACAGCCATCTCCCGATTACCCTTAAAGAGAAGAATAATTATTTTCATAAATAAATAAATAAATAGAGAGAAAAAGAAACAATAAAATGACAATTGTGACACAATTTCCAAATTCAAAAGATTGAAATGCGACTTGATGGAGAAATTGAAATTATACAAAAAAGCGGTTTATTGAGAAGTTCATCACTCACCGTTCGACCTCCTGACGTAAAAGACCTTCAAACGCCTGTTTTCTTTCAAGTAGCTTTTCTTCTTCAACTTGTAGCTGGGCCTGCCGTCTACTGTAACCCTCTTGAAGCTCCTTTCTTTGTCTAAATATGCACTTCATACTATTAATTTCGCCTTTTTAACAAATGTAAGGAATTATCGCCCATAAACGAGTTCAAAGAAGTTATTACTGCATTATTAATTTCGATTCCTAATTTTCGAACATTTAGCGTGTATTTGGTTCTGGTATTACTGCCATAATCAATGCTTATTTCAGTGCAGCCGATCCACAATCATATAATGGATAAATTTCAAACAACATAACGGAAAAAAATCGAATTTCGGTGTCCCCTTCATTAGTCACTGCGGATGGCCATTCCGTTCACAAATGGATACCCCAACTTCCCAGGCGAAAAGGTTGATTACAACGCCACTGACCTCACCTTTCTAGAGCCATTTCCATCTGACGCAACTTTTCCTTTTTCGCACGAGCAGCCTCCAATTCTGCGGTAAGGACCTGTCTCTGGAGAAGTGCATGCTGTTCATTTGTCTCTTTTGATCTCGTCATCATTTCGTTTAAACGATTTTCTCGTTCTTCTAGGATCGACATCTTAATCGAATAAGCTTCTTCCAGCTAAAGGATTACTCCTAAATGACTAGCCCACTTGTAACTGTTTCTCCTTTAGAGCAGCGTTTGTCATCATTTCGAGTTCATTTTTCATTTCCAATTGCGCATGCTTCTTGAAATCCTCAAGCTAAAAAGGTATTAAGATCGACAAAATTTTCTTCCACGTTAAAATATCTATGCATATCTGGGATTGTGTTACCTTTCGACAGTATTCATTAAAAACTTCCTCCTCAATTTTGCAACGCATGTGAATAACCTTTTCATTAAATTGATGATTCAGCATTTCAATATCAAATTTGCGTTGATCATCATACTTGGCATTGATTTTGTCCATTTGTAAGTCTAGAAATAATTTGATAATTTTAACTATCAAATTAATGCAACCGAAATTGGAGGATTCAAAATTAATGCCGATTTGACAACATTTGTCGGCTTTCATAATGGAAGTCATGGTCATTACGAGGGATGACATATTGTGAATCAAACTTTTATTTTCACTCATTAAGCTAAAAGATGAATTCATAGAACTAGTTGTACCATTCTCGATATTGTCGATTTTCGACTAACTTATGGAGTTTCAAAATTTTTATTAAGTCTTCCCTTGAAAATCCCTACAAATAATCTTAAGTAGGAATATTACTTCTATATTTTTCTGAGCAGCTTCAGGTACTAGAACACTAGTTGTATATGTGTAGCCTGATTTCTGCAAATACTCCAAGCATAAGTTAAACGCTATTTTGTCATCAAATGTTACGTCATTCTGATAAGATTCAACGGCTTTAAAAGACAATTCAGAGATGAGATGATGCCTTAAATTTGCCTAGTAATGTGAATTTATGAAAAAATTCGAACTTTAATTTCCTGTAAGACTCCTTTAGATTTAAGTGATTCGACAAGTTTCCGACGCAATTTTTCTGGTGCATTTTCATAGTACTTTTCTCCCATGTGCATTCAGATAGGAAAAATATTAAAATAATTGAAATGTGCGCCTTCCGGCCTTGTCAGTCATTGGACGGGTTTGTTTATAGGAGAATTTAAAAGAAGTTTTGAATTTAAAAAAGAAAACATTCCAGAAAATCATTAATGACTCAATATCCTACAATTCAACTTGTTTAGTTTCATTTTTGATTAATGACTTTGTAAATAATATAGCAACTGAGTGTGCTCCAAATAAAGGTATACTTAATTGGCTTAAAAATGAACAACATTCCAGAGCGCATTCAGTGATAACGTGAGCACTGATTGAATATGAAATTTTGTTACAGCGTTTTCGCATAGGCAGTCGAGTATAGGTACAAGCATTTCTCCTATTATTGTAGAAGAGGAGTAAGAAACATAGAATCGTTTGACAATATTCTGTACACATAACAAGGTATAATAAAATAGGGGGCCATTTCCATTTACAGCTATTTCCTGTGTCAGTGCGTGTGTGTTGAGACATGGTGATGGTAAGTTTTGAATCACGCAACCTTCCTATTGGTTGTCGCGGTCGCAACCTTAGCCAAGTTTCGATTTCTCCAGATCACCCAATCACCTGTTAGCGACAATTTTATTAACCAATGGCGATGCACCGCGTCCACGCTATGTCTATAAATGTAACTAATCTTCTTTTTTCGTGGTCTCTCAAGTGATACCTGTACCTGCTCTTTACATAATCCGCAATTAGTCCTTCCACATTTACTCAGCTCGCCATACAATATGATGAGCTTCAAATTTGTCCTGGTGGCTCTTGCTATTTTAACTCTCATATACATTTCTATCATCCCTGACGTTTCAACAAGATGTTTACCTCGTACAAGTGTCGAAGTTTGTTAGATAATGCTTGTGCTTACTTTAAAAGTCCATATTTAAGAATCCACTTTCGTATCAAGATGTAGAAACCCTGAGCAAAATATTGCGAATGGGAAATTTTGATGAAATTCTTCGAAATATCAATATAATTCGTCCTATCGGATCTGAAAATCATGCTCTCGTTCGAGAGGTAGTCAGTTGAATATTCGCTTATATTTCATCTCAGTATATTAAAACGACGCTCGAAAATATTGGTTGGGAAGTCGAACTTGACACTTTTACAAATTTAACTGTGATTGGAGATGTAACATTTAGAAACATAATTGCAATAAATAACCGACGTGCTTCACGGCGTCTGGTTTTAGCCTGCCATTATGATTCTAAAATGATCCAAAATTTCTATGGAACAATTGATTCTGCTGTTTCCTGCGCTATTATGGTTAACATCGCTGTTAGTTTGTCTAAAGTGTTGGATTCTTCGGAGGTATGTATTTCGAAGACTAATGTTCTTATGTTATGCCAGCTCGATATTGCTCTGCAGTTAATATTTTTCGATGGCGAAGAGGCTTTTCACGAATGGACCGACGATGATTCAATTTACGGTTCCCGCCATTTAGCCGCCAAGATGTCCATGAAGGGTTCCAATGGCTGCAATGATATAGACAGAATAGTTTGTAGCTGTCGATTATTAATTAATTAATTATTTATTAAATTAGGATCTCTTTATTCTCTTGGATTTGGTGGGAGCAGCCGGATCCACATTCCCACAATATCCACACTGCGATTCTCGTTTCTACGACGTACTTCGTAACTTAGGTAAATAAATTATTTCATTTTATTCGATTACCTTATTTTTTAGAGCTAATATCGAGGCCTCTCTTCCTACCAAAATCTGGAAGTGTTGGAGCTAGCAGCCTCCTTTCCTATTTTTCCCCTCGCTCTTATAGAGGAATTCAGGATGATCATATTCCCTTCCTACGTAGACGTGAGGCAAATTTTTTGAATTCTATTTGTCAAATTTAGGTGTTCCTGTGCTCCATCTGATTCCAGCCCCCTTTCCACCCCAATGGCACGACGTCTCCGACAATATCGAGAATGTTGACCGAAAAGCTGTGCACGATGTTCAACTCCTGGTAGCCGCTTTCTTATGCCAATACCTCCAAATTTCACCAAGCAGAGTTCATCATGACAGCTACAGCTAACTTTGATTTTATTTGTGATTTTTTTTGTTTAATATTTTTTATGTGACCTTCGATGTCTCCGTCAACAATGGTGCGTAGAAATTTTCAAACAAACATCAACCTCCTTACTTTTTTTTATTTGCCTTGAATCCATGAATCCCTTTGATGTTTCCAATGTTTTGTCAATTATTATTTACATTATGAAATGTAATTGAAATGAGTTATTGGGAAGTTCAATAAATTAACATCTGTGTAAAGTGGTGGAGGGCCAGGCCAAGACACCAACATGTTTTGCTTTGTTTGTTTGTTTGTTTTTGTCAAATTAGTGGGCACACCACGTTCATCAACTGAATAACTGAGCCAATTTTTTGTCCATTATATCAAGTGCTTATTGGTCAGTTGTTCGGCTATGGTATTCGGCCTCAATGTCTGCGTCAGATGTAACAAGTTCAATTAACGATATAAATAGTAGCTTTTAAATATGCCTAATCAGGTTTTCCAATATCTATACCCACTGGAGTGCATTCACCGATCAATATTCCTTGGTATGTTGGGAAAACTAATTATCTCAAGGCTCAAAAAATGCTTTTCTCCTACCAGAGATTCGAAGTGGAAAAGGACTTAGCTCAAACCCGTTAAAAAATATAAATTTGACTTTGTGGCATCACTAAATGACAAAGATTTGCTGTGCAGGAAGAAAATTCTCGTCATTCTAATTGCTTTTAATGGATTTGATGAAGAACTCCATCCAAGAAGGTTCTTTCTCATATTGAATTGGGTGAATGCGGACCAAATCACCTTGCCCTACACACCAAAACTAAACTGCATACTCGCTTGTTCGTGCAAGACGTCTCTGTGTCCGAAAAAAGCATTACTTGTCTCATGTACCGCCTCTTGTGGTTGCGGCAAAATACGAATAAAAATTGATGTCTGCCAAACCCGTGTCAACTAGTTCTAAATGCGCTGAACTTAATCCCACCCATAATTCCAGGCGTCACGTAATAAGATTTTAACATTTTAAGACATTTGCAATTTGAAGAGGGCTGTGATGCTTCCAAAATTCAAGACACGACATATTTGCCCTTACCGCTACGCAAGTGGTCTCCCTCGTGTAAGAGGTGCGAAGGGATTTTTGGACAGAAGTATAGAGTGGTGTAAATACAGAAAGGTTAATTAGAATAATTTTTTATTTAAAATTAGTCAATAAATAATAATACGTGACTCCGTGAAAGCGCTCTATATCACTAGCAGTGTGATATTATTATTATTTCAAATGGCGGGCGTTTTGAATATTTATCATTAGCCATTTAGCTGACTTTGGGCTTCGCAGAGGGAGGAAAATCAAAGTGAGAACAATTCGGGAGGGGGAACAGAAGAGTGATTCACAGATGTAGAGGAGACAAACAGACACAAAGGCAGAGAAAAGGTGAGATGAGTACTGTGGAAGCTGTGTAATATGACATACAGTGGGGTGATGGTAGTTTGAAGTCAGAAGTCAGCTGCCGGTTAAAAGACTTTTTTGCCGTATGAGTATACGTTGCCCAGGGTGCACCACGTGGAGGTAAGTCTATCGCACACCCCAGCAGTGTGATATAAAACATGACTTTCCTCCACGTGGTGCAACCTGGTCAACGTATACTCATACAGCAAAATAAGTCTATTAACCGGCAGTTTGACTTCTGACTTCAAAATACCATTTCTCGACCGTATATCATATTCGACCGATTTCACAGTACTCACTTTACTCCGTCTGTTCCTTTTACATCTGTTCCCCCCCCCCTCCTCCTCCTCCTCCTCGGCTTTTTGTGACCTTGATATTCCTCCTCTCTGTGTCAACTAAAGGGATAATGATTACTATCATAAGACCTGCCATTTGATATAAATGATACAAAACACGAGGCATCTTTTATCGTGGCCACATTGTATGTGTTCCGTGTTCTCAAATATGCCACTACGTCACAACTAATGCCTGATTAATCACTAGGCGAATGCAATTGATTAATCTGTTCTATTTACTCATTTTAAATAAAAAATTATATGAAATTAATATACCTTTTTTTGTTCAAATGGGGACTCTCTTCTCTTGGTCATCGTGTACTATTGGATAGTAACTTTTCAAATTAATTGAAAATTGTACGAAGGTAGACGACATCAACAATTACCACTTAATTTTTGTTTTATTCCTCCTAATCATAATGGGAAGACCAGAAAAGATGAATTAGAGATGCCATTATTTCTATTAGAAGCCTGAAGTACAATTTCACTACTACTGACGTAGTTGAGACGCTCATTTCCACCCTACTCCTCATCCTATTACAACTTCTCGCCTTCTTCTCAGGTCGTCCAACACAACACTGCTTTGTGTCACCCCTCATTCTTCTGATTTGAGAACGTCTCTGGGGGGGGGGTTGATCTACCCTTGTCTGCTGGCTATCCTTCAGTTGACACTAGCATTCTTTCAACATCATATTTAGCAATAAGGTTCCTATTGTCCAACGGACATTATATAAACCTTCTTGCTATTTCTGCCAGATTATTCCATTTTTCATCCACTAGTTTACCACACGAATAAGCAGTGCCCAACCACTACAATCAGCCAATATAAAACTGCTCCTTAAATTAGCCAAGCCATATCAACATTATCGAGAAGATAGATTGCCTGGCCAATGTTACAAAGTTTAGTCATCAAAATTTATTTATATCAAATGGCAGGCGTTTCGATAGTTATCATTAGCCCTTTAGTTAACTTCAGGCTTCACAGAGAGGAGGAGAAACATCAAAGTCACATAAAGTCGAGAGGGGAGGTGGGAGGAACAGAAGAGTGTTTCAATGATGTAGAAGAAACAGACACAAAGCTAGAAAAGGGTAAGGTGAGTACTGTGGAGGTGGTGGAATATAACATATAGTGGGGTGATGGTAGTTTGAAATCAGAAGTCAACTGCCGATTCACAGACTTATTTACCGTATGAGTATACGTTGCCCAGGGAGCACCACATGGAGGTAAGTCTATCGCACACCACAAGTTTAGTCATTAAAATAAATTTATGCCCAGTCTACATAGAAGTGGTTATCAATTACTGGTTGGCTGAGAGGTCTTTGGACTCACAACTGCTCGTCCTTACCACGCAATCAGCTGTACGGTCACACTTTCCAGGTTGTTTGAGCCTGCACAGGATTTCTTTATTCAAAATTGGTAGCTTCTTGCACCCCACAATGAAATGTTATTTTTTTTAAGATAATAATTACGAGGTAGGGTGCGCGATAGAATTACCTCCACGTGGTGCACCCTTGGCAACGTATACTCATACGGCAAAAGGTCTATTAACCGGCAGGTGACTTCAAACTACCATGACCCGACTGTATGTCATTTTCCACCATTTCACAGTTTTCACTTTACCTTTTTCTCTACCTTTATGTCTGATTCCCTTTTACATCTATGAAGCCCGAAATGAACCAAAGGACTTATGATAACTATCCTTATTATAACT